GAGACTATGACTTATTTTAAGGAAGCACTTTCTAAGTCAGGTGTTCACAGATGGGTTTAGGAATACGCTGTCTCCAGAGATGTTCAAACACAGGCAGCAGAGGTTCAAGTAGCCGATGAGTGGTTAGACTTGATGACATTTGATATCCCTCCAACCCCGAGATTATATGGGTCCTTTTATCACCATTTTCTTTCAAGCCCTCACCTCTTCAGTCCCCAGTCTATGTCTGACACTTCAGGCAGTCCTGGTTTTTCTATACTTTTCTTTGTGGTCTCCTTTTCCCCCAAGCAAATTCTCACACCTGTGTACGGAGATTCACTCATTCATTTGCCCCACCTACTACATGCTAGCTGCTGGAAACAAGGGATTGGATGAGCCGTCCTTGCCTTCATATACCTTCCAGGTGGAGAGTTGGACATCTACATCATAGATTACAGCACAGGCCCAGTAATCTGTGTTTAATAAGCCCTCCAGGTGATTCTGATGCTGGCTAAAGTTTGAAAACTACTGAAATAGGCTAAAGTGTGCACCAAGTTTTTGTAGAAGGTCATTATATGAAAAGGGATTCGTCTCATTGTGGTGAATCCAAACGCCATGGCAACTGCCTGATGAAAGAAGGATTGCTAAGAAGGATGCTGCTCAGGGAAATGTTTGGAAACCACGCCTTAGTTTCTTTAAAGGCCCATTCTCATGTCATACTTTGTTGAGTGCACGTGTATTTGAGCAACTCACTAAAATATATCAACTACTCTTCTACTATCCTTCTGCATAGCACATTAACAGAGTGAATAGGAATCTTAAATCTCACAGAACTGAACTCTAAGATTTTCAGACAAATGCAATGGTATCCAAGTTTAACTATCAGCTCAGCTCAGCTCAGGGTGAATGGTTACATAAGACCAATTAAAAGCTTGAAATTAGAATGCCAATGATCACCACAGAGTCAAATTAAAGGACATCACTGACGCCTCCCCTTCATCCCTGGCTTCTCAGAAAACAAGGAGAGACAAGCTTAGGAAGGATTCATAGCACAGTAAAGGCAATCTTCATCCAGTAGTATTTTTTGGGAGGAGGGGTAAAAAGAGGGTAGGAGGGCTTCTGAATAAGGTCATACATCTGCCTACTTTATTAACAAACTATTACTAACATAGGCGGACCCCACCCAGAGGGCCAAGAAACCATCTGCTTTTGGAGAGGGTGACTGTCTGCACTTAGATTTCAAGTTACTTATAGCAGAGGGAGGAATCTGTGTGGGGAAAAGAGTAACATTCAGACCAAAGATGCTTTCTAAACAGCGGGCCTTTCTGGTAATTTATCTAATAGAATGGGGAGAGAAAAAAACCCCAAACCCAGCCTCACTAGACTTGCAGATAAATTCTGTCCTCCCAAGTGTGAAATCACAGGGAAGACTCTAAGAGGAACATTTCCATCTTTGCTTTTTTTTTCCCCTAGGCTATTTCCCTAACCTGAAATAGCGATTTTTGGCACGGCAGCCGGCTTTCCCGTGTGACAAAGGCCCGTCTTCCCCAGCTTGTATTCCTTGTCACTGTTGGAGCACACAGGCCAACAGCTAAAACAAACGCCATCATGACAGAGCATGCTACTAACCTGCTCATGAACTTGTACCGGCGGGGCAGGTAATAGATTTTTCTCCTGGAAGAACAGCAAAAATGAAGCCAGTCGAGAAGAAAACCCATCGTCAGTTACAGTTTGAACTAGCAAGGAAGGAAAGGAGATTGAAGATAGAAGCCTGTAAGAGGTGAAGAAGAAAAAACTAAAAAGAGATTAACAGTGAGAAATGTAGTGGGAACGGAGGGCATGCATTTTTTGAGTCATGAAATCATATGAAATCGTCTCCATTGATATCGCCCCCTCTCCGTGTTACCATCATTGTTTACGGCTGCTCTTCGCCTACAGAACCTGTGCAGAGCAATAATTTGGAGCAATTGGTATTTGTAGGAATTCGGCTGAGGTCAGCTCTTTTTTCAGGAGGCCGAGATGGGTTGCCAGCCTGCTGGCAACATACATAATTTAGTGGGCACAGGATTACATTAACTAATATTTATATAGCGCTTTAAGTTTAGAGAATGCTTCTCTCATCTGATATAGGCAAGGGTAATATAAAACTACATATTTATATTTGACAATCAGTACGGGAAAGACACTAACAAATAGGTATCAACATCCTGTTATGAATAACCACACTAGAACATACTGCCTCACCCCTGGCCCTCCTATCAGTGAATTCAAGAGATACACCAAGGAATCCTGGGAAAAAATCTTTTTAAAAATCAGACTTATTAAGGATCTGTTGGACTTCTATATACCTGCATTTTAAAAAGCATTACAAATGTAAATTCTGGGTGTAGCGTGAATGGAGAGCACATGTATCAGATGCTTTGTTAAAATGCAGTCTCCCTTTCTACAGTTTGGGCTTCAACCAATGGGGTGGTAATGAAATGAACACGGTTTGTATGAATTCTGAACCGTTCCTGAGATATCTCACTTAGAGAGAATGGGAAGTTTATACACCAAAATTTATTTTGCATATCTGTGAAAACATAAAAACATATCCCATGTTGTTAACAGGCAAATTATAGAGACAAGAGAAAGATCAGTGGCTGCCAGGGGTTTGGGTTGGGGGGAGAAGGGATGAATAGACAGAGTAAAGGGGATTTTTAAGGGCAGTGAAACTATTCTGCGTGATACTATAATAGGGGGTACCTGACACTATGCATTTGTCAAAACCCATAGCACTGTGCAAGGCAAGAAGTGAACCTTAAAGTGAACTATGGACTTTAGATAGTAATAATGTACCAATGTCGGTCCATCCATTGTAACAAATATACCACACTAATGCAAGATATTAATAATAAGGAAACTGTAAGTAGGGTGAGAGGGGGTATATGCGAACACTCTGTACTACCTATTTAATTGTCTGTAAACCTAAAACTGTTTTAAAAACAGTCTATTTAAAAAACCCATATCCATGGACATACAGGTATTTAGCAGAAGCAGGCTTTATTGACAACTTCCCACAAGAAACCTATTACTCGACTTCCTTTTAAACACTGGAGAAATAAAAATCCTAGGAGACTAAACCTGGGATTCAGAAGTGCAGTCTACAGAAAATAATAAATAAAGATTCTTGGAGGCATTTAAATAGTCAGCTAAATTGACATTTGAACATTTTGGTGAACTGACATGGCAGGGCAATTCCTGCTTTGGAAATACGTATGTCTCCATAGACAAATAGATAAATAAGCTAGAGTTATGTGTCTAAAACACCGGACAAAACGAAAGCATAAATTTTAAATGCACCAAGTTGCATCAAGTGAAGCTATGCTTAGGTAAACTCACATCAATATTAATAAGGCCAATTAGTGGCCACACACTAACAGTATTTCCTCCTAAAATATTGCCCTGTAGGAATTCCTACGTTTAAGATTATAATTCATAGCTATTATGGTTTTCATTTTATTGCCTGGATCACAGTCTCTGAATACTGCATAAGAAAAGTATTAATGCTGCTTGCAGGCAGCATTTTTCTGCTATGTAATGAGCACACAGAGGTATTATCTATGATGCAGCCAGGCGCTTCAGAGATGAAATGCTTCCAGGTACTAAGGGAATTTGCTCATGTTTCTACAATCTGCTCAGGTTCTGTGCTTGAGAAGTGTGTTCTGGCAAAAGGTTTTATGAGGTTGCTACTGGGGAGGGGGGTATCAGTTTCACTAGGTTTGACTACTGTAAAACTACTACTACTATCAAAAGGTAGACTTTTTAGCTCTGTGGGCTATAAGATGTTGGTCTGATATATGACTCTATCTAAGCATAGATTTATTTTTGGTCCTTATGTGTGATATAGTATTGATTCACATTGATAAATAACTGAAAAGTTTAGAACTATGTTTGTCTCAATTCTTTCGGGAATTTTGCCTTAAGGAAAATAGATGCTAGAAATCCAGCCTCTATTTTGAATTGGTATTAGGACATAAAGACCAGTAAACAAAGAAAATAAGGGGCACCAAGGAGATATATTACAGGCCTATGACTGGAAATTGCCCTTCTCTAAATGTGTTCCTAGCTCCTCTTCGTTTCTAAGAACGTAGATGGTTCTTTGTGTCGGTAACTTTCCACAGCTCATTAAGAGGTATATTTTAGAATTGGCAGTTTGTCTAATATCTGCCCACTGACTTGGTCTTTATGGGCAAATTGTGAACTAAAAGTATTTAATTCTTTAGTCCCTTTGGAACTGTCCTTGGTACTACACCCCTCCACCTCCTCTGAGAGATTCCATTATTTCCACATATCTTGGCATTTATAACTTGAGGTTTAATACTTTATTTCATTTCCATCTAGCCAATGATCACTTTTTCTTAATCTACAGGGAAAATAAGAATATTCAGTGTAAGATGGAGGAAAATTAATCCCTTTAAATAACTGAGAAATCCATGCAAAGTTGTTTTCTATTCCCCTAGGAATAAATATCAATGCTTGTGCTTGTGCAGTATTTATGACCTGATTTTTTTAAATTTAAAAATAGGTTATTTAAAGAAATAAGATCATAAATAAATAAATAAATAAGATCACATTTTCCTGAAATTTCTTGAACTTGTTTCAATGGAAGTAGATTTGAATTTTTTTCTGGAAGGGACCAGTCAGTAAGGACCTGCACCACTGATCCTGGGGTCTGGCCATTCAAAGAAGCAGTACACAAGGGTTTCTAAAAATGGCACTTTGGAAATGAAAACGCCACTTGGAAAATATTTCTTTCTCACAGGCAGGTGAACTATGTGCCCTTCTAAGGACTGAATTAGCCAGACATTTTCACAAAAAGCCATGAAGCCATTATTAGCCATGAAGTACTTATTGCATTTCCTAAACACTTAAAGGATTTTCTTAGAGTGTTCCAGTCCGCATTTCAGTTTTACTTGTTTTGAGAGAGGAGTACATTAGTAGCAGAGAGAATGGGGGGGCGGGGATACTTTTACACCTACCTGAAAGGCATTCTTACATTCATTTGTTCTGCATATCTTCCGAGCACTTCCCATGGGGCATGCAACTTCACAAAGATAATGTCACTATTTATTAGAGAGGACTGAAACAGAAAAAAGAAACTAAATTGAAAAGTATATCCAAGTCTCCTATGGTTTCAATTGAGTTGGAACTTAGAACACATGAACTTGTACAGAGTTTAAGATGGGGGGCATTCTTCAGCGACAAGCTGGCTCCTTATGTGCGCATATATCCACTCAACCAATACACCACTGTGTGGCAGGCACTAGAGAACCAGTTTAGGAGCAAAAGAGATATGCACGGCATTTACATTCTGCAAAAACACACACAAAAGAAGACAGGCAAAAACAAGTTAAAGAGAGAGGGACAGATTCAGAGCTACGAGTATTCTGAAGACAACAAAGTCTTAGGAGGAAGAGTTGGGGTAGGGTACCCATTTCTTTGGGCAAGGGTCAAGGAAAGTCCTCTCTGAGGAGGGGACATGTGAGCTGAGATATAGAGAAGGAGCCAGCTGGATAAAGAGCATGGGATGAATGTTCTGGGTGCCAAGGCCCTAGGTTGGGAAATAGCTTGGTATGTCCTATGGTCGAGGGACAGGGAGGCAAGTAGACGGGCTGGGGTGGATTAATCATGGAGACTGGAGCGAGCAGAGGGTGGAAAGGTGGGCAGGAACATGTAGTGCTTCACAGGCCACAACAAGATGGTTAAACTTTATTCTAGGGCCACGGGGAAGTCATTTTGATTTAGGCGTTCAAAGATCACTGTGGCTACTTCGTGGAGGATAAACAACAAGGGAGAGTTACAGCGAAAGCAGAGAGAAGGAGAGAGGCTCTCAATCATACAGGCAAAAGCAATAGTTGTTGGTGGTGGAGATAAAGGGACCTAAGGGATGTGAGTCTTAAATCTGGGTCAGTATCAGCAAGGGTTTTTCAAAGGACTGTGTTCTTTGGCCCCAAACCTTTGCCTCCTCTGGGGCTTCTTATCAACACAGAACTTAGACAAGCAAGTAAAACTAGAGCTTCATACTCTGTTAACCCCCCAACACATTTTGATCTATGCCTCTGACCAAGGGGACATCTCCAATTAGGAGATTTCCTTCAGAAGTCATTTCCCAGGGGGAGGGCTGAGTTGTGGAAGGAAGCAGAAGAAAGATGAGAAACAGTAAGCCAGAGCAGTTTAAAATTAGCAAAACGGCCAATTATTTAGCCATATCCTTCTCACACACAGTCGTTCTGAACTGCATACTATTTAAAGTTTTACAGTTTAAGAGTATCAATTTAAAATTTTGTAGTTTAAGATATGTTAGGCCTTTGTGGCTGAACTCTCCCTATAATAGTATTTATAAACAAGCCAATATTTTTACACAGCTGACAAAAAAAGCTCAACTTTGTGCTTTAGCTGGGGTGCATTTGCACTACAGGGAATTGTTTTTATATTGCAGATGAAATGCAATTGTAATTCATCTCTTGTATTTTCATTCAGGGTCTTCTGGTTAGGCTTATAAATAGTGTACTTAATTCATAAGAACTCCTCAAGATATTATGAAAATCAAGCTGGTGTCAACTACAATGTTCTCAGGGACTCTGGTGACACTGAATTTCCCATGGGGAGGAGGGCCAAGGCCCAAATCCACAATGGTGGTGGTGGGGTACCCTTTGATATTGGTTAGGAAAATCAAACTTTCTGGCAGTTCGGGCTGAAATAAGGTTTTATCTTTCAGCTTAGGATAAGCAGACCCCTGTCTCTAATCCCCTTGAGAACAAGGGAAGTTTCTGTTATTCATGGGTGAATCCTCTGGGCCTAGCACAGTGCCTACTATAGACGGTACACTCAACCAATATTTGTCTAGTGAAATGTGAATAGTTAGTCCTGGCTCAAGTGAAAGCTGGGAGTCCTATGAAGCCAGAAGTGAAGAAGATTAAGTGACTCTTGGAGCCCACATAGCTGATTACTGCAAATAAGGTGCCCACACAGGGAACAAACACGCCAGCAACCACTGAAAAAGCAATGACTAGGGCTGTGTCTCTTTGCACAAACTGGTTTTCTGTTTAGTAACCTATTACCTCCCTGCACTGGGTGCTTAGAGCCAGGTAGCCAGGGGTAGCGTGAATGAGCTCATGGGTGGCAATGTCCATACAGGAATATACAGAAACACAGCACACACACTCTCCATTGTGTCCCGTTCACGTCTGTGGATGTGCTGATGCCTTGATCTGAGATGTTCTCAAAGCTTATCAGTTGAGCATTCTTGTGCTTTGGAAAAGATTGCCACTTGTTTTTCCACATATAATACAGTTTTCTAAGTTAAAAAGCAGAAGAAAGATTATTTTTCCTTAAAATGGGCCTTTTTGGGGCTTCCCTGGTGGCGCAGCGGTTGAGAGTCCGCCTGTTGATGCAGGGGACACGGGTTCGTGCCCTGGTCCGGGAGGATCCCACATGCCGCGGAGCGGCTGGGCCCGTGAGCCATAGCTGCTGAGCCTTCGCGTCCGGAGCCTGTGCTCCGCGACGGGAGAGGCCACAACAGTGAGAGGCCCGCGTACCGCAAAAAAAAAAAAAAAAAATGGGCCTTTTTGTTTATACTAAAGATACACTCCAGAGCCTGGGAAGGTTTTGTAGCTTCCTCACTTGGGAGGTTTCATGGTAATACCGGGAATGCTTTAAATTCACCTAGCTTTCTGACAAGGTTCTCACTTCCTGCTATTTCTTCTCTCATATTCCCATGAGAGAACGAGTAAAATTGTGCAAAATAAAGAAGATGGGAATGTGACTGATTTACAGAATCAATCAAACCTTGATTTAGATAGAGGATAATCTCAGAATATACTCTCTTCATGGAATTACTGTGATTGCTAGTTTTACAGAAAATATACACTCTATTGCAAGGATAATCATTTTGTAGATCTCCCATGAATGTATGAAAATATTAAGGAGAACACAGTACTATATTCCATTTAGGGCACGTTTTACGTGCCATACTTCTGTGTGTTGGAAAAGCCAAGTTCATCTGAACACATACTGAGTCAACTAAACTTCTAATGTGGGATCTCAACCATTTTCTGCATAAAAGAGCAAATAAAAATAACTCCATTTTCCTATTATTTCAATTATAACAATAATTATAAAACCATCACTCTAGTTTTTAGTGCTTTATAATTTTAGAAGCACTTTTACACATTACCTCATCTTATTCTCAAACTTGTAAGAGAGGCTTTACTTCAATTTCTTAAAGAAGGAAGAGACTAAGTCAAGGAAGTCACCCACAGCCAAACTGAAAGTTTATCCCAGGCAAAGCTGAGTCCACAGCCACATCCCCTGACTCCCTTGTCAATTTTATCTGATAAACTCTGAGGTTTAAATAAATCCATGGCTTTTATGTGCATTGAAGACACAATCTCTGAATTCTTTATCAGTTTATACAAACTAATCTGAAAAGAATTTAGTATTTCAGAAAACAAAGCAACAAAAACAAAGAGGGAAAATTAAGCTATATTTAAGATAATCTTGAGAAAAATGTTAATTGAATTCCCATTAATGATGATGAGTGTCTATTCGTGTGTGTGTGTGTGTGCATGCTTGCACACCTGTGTCTATGGGACTTATTACTTATACTCTGTTTTTAAGGAGAAACTGAACTTCAGCCCAGACAAATAAATGTGAAACAGATGATTGCTAATTATATAGCTCATATATCACTCTTTTCTCCGGTGCTGAATGATTAGCTACTGTGCTTAAATAGGTTTTTCCTTGTTATTAAGTATTCCTTTCCACATAAATCCAAGTGTGCAAGTGCCAAAATGAAAAGAAATAAAAATGAATTTTTTGAAACATACAGTTGTTTCATTAATATACTGCAATAAAAATCCCTTAGGTTAGAACACTGGGGAGAAGAAAAATGACCATTTAGAGGAGTCTGGAAAATCTCCTTAGAAGAATGATTGGAGAAATTAAGAAGTAGCATGGAAAACACCTGGAGGAGAAATAGGTAGGATTCACAGAAAACATTCCTTCTTTCTCGTTCATTCAACAAGAACACATTGAACACCTTCTATGTACTAGAGGCTGGGAATGCAAAGATATATAAATCATGGTCCTTGACCTGAAGGTTAGATACGACAACAGTAAGCAAAAGAATAAATAGCACGCCGTTATCTAACGCAAGCAACCCACCTCTCAGAGACGTGTAGATGCACACATCTCTCCATCTCACGACCCCCAAAACCATGGCTGGAAGAGGGTCTGGGAGCAGGGGCATGGAGGCACATCATGAACTCAGTTTAGGAAATGCTAAGTAAGTTTGTGATGGTCACGAGAAGATGTCCTGGGTGTAGATAAATGAGTCTGGAGCTCAGGGGAGCAGTCTGGGCCAGAGATACAAAGTAAGTGTGGCCAGGACATAGACAATATTTAAATCCATGGGATTGGATGAAGTCAATCTGGGAGAGAGTACAGGGACAGAGCCACGCGGCTAGCTGGACCAGACGTTAGTTAGGAATGCAGACTCTGAGGTTTGACTGCCCATATTCATATTCATATGTCTACCTCTTACCAGCTCTGTGATCCTGGACAAGCTATTTAACCTCTCTGTGCCTCAGTCCGTTCATCTGTAAAATGGGAAATGATAGCAACAGCTATCTATTGAGTTGTATTAAATGACATAATACAGGTGGGGTACTCACAGTACATCCAAAACATGTTAGTCATCATCATCTCTAAGAAGGGCCACACCACATTGGCAGTGGCGGGAAGAACACAGCTAGTTACGTAGTTACAACCTGTGAATGCGACAGATAAGGAGCGAATACCTGCAAAGGATTTTCCAGTCTTTGAGCACAAGGCTAAACCAGAGGAAACCCTGAGAGTCAAGCCCCCAATTCCTATCTCCTGTCCTTCCACAGTCCCCTACATGTTCCTCCAAGGACATTCCTTCATTCACTCATTCAACAGACATTCATTAAGTGACGACTATGTACCAGGTACTCTGCCAGGTGCTTGGCTATATTACGGTAGCCCAAATTTACAGTCTGAAGCAGGAGGCAGACATTGAACAACAAATAAACATATGATTTAAAATTATGAAAGGTG